GGGACTTAGGTCAAATGATCAGATGCTTTTTTGTAATTTTTTTTAAATTGACTTAACATTAAATCCTAATATTATGTATTCATGGTTTTTCCACTTGTGTTTTGTTTTTTTTTTAAGATTTTATTTATTTATTTGTCAGAGAGAGAGAGAACACAAGCAGGCAGAGCAGCAGGCAGAGGCAGAGAGAGAAGCAGGCTCCCCACTGAGTAAGGAGCCCGATGTGGGACTCGATCCCAGGACTCTGGGACCATGACCTGAGCCGAAGGCAGTGGCTTAACCAACTGAGCCACCCAGGCGTCCCTCCACTTTGTTTTGACATAATTTTTTTTCCTTGTGTTTCATGACATAATTTTTTTTTTTAAGATTTTATTTATTTATTTGACAGGCGGAGATCACAAGTAGGCAGAGAGGCAGGCAGAGAGAGTGGAGGAAGCAGGCTCCCTGCTGAGCAGAGAGCCCGATGCGGGGCTCGATCCCAGAACCCTGGAATCATGACCTGAGCCAAAGGCAGAGGATTAACCCACTGAGCCACCCAGGCGCCCATGACATAATTTTTTTTCAAAAAAAATTTTTCTAAGTAAACTCTACCCACAACGTAGGGCTTGAACTCATGACCTGAGGTGAAGAGTCACGTGCTCTACCTACTGAGCCAGCCAAGCACCCCTCATGAAATAATTTTGTTCAGTGTTTTCCACTGGCATCTTAGATATATGTCTTTGTCAGCTATCAGACAAAGCAGTATCTGCTCCATCATCTGACAGTTTTTTTTTGAGCATGTGATTTTCACTTTACATTATTTGAGTTAGAGCACTTTTAAAATTTATATGTGATGCTCTCTCTGGAAATTCAATCTTAAGAACATGGATAGATCTTAAGTACCCATTTGTTGTTTGTGATTTCCACAGCGTAACCATATTGCTTTATAAATGAAAGTTAAAGATTAAACATATGCACACAGTATAAAATTCAAAGGATATGAAAATGTTGTTTTGGCTGAAGCCCAATCTTCTTTCCATGGTAGATCAACTGGTGAACTGAAGTCCTATGAGATAGCTCTAACTCAGTTTATCAGACATTGGTCATATGCAAGCAGACACAGTGCTGCGTGCTGGGGATACCAAGACAAAAGCCAATCCCTGTGTTCAAGAAGCTTCTGTTCTTTCCTTGGAGCCAGAAAGTAAACCATTTACTACTTGGTAGTATATTCACATATATAATAGAAGAGTATCATAGGGATGGGAGTGAGGAGAATACTTAGCACACAGATTGACAAAGTAACAGGGTGGTTCTAGAGCATGCATGAACTAGATAAAGGGGAGATGAGGAGGATAAGGACATTCCAAGCATGTAATTCAGTATGACTATACTGAATTGTGTAGGATGGGTAAGAGGAGAGGGAAAACCAGAGAGATGAGCTGAGGCCTGATCACGAAGGACTTCCCAGATCATAAGGATTTTGGAATTTATACTGTATACTGTGGTGTCAGAGAGCCATTAAAAAAGGCTTTTTTTTTTTTTTTTTTTAAAGCTGTTAAAGACTTTTAGGTGCATGTGTGTGTGTGAGAGAGAGACTGAGAATCAGACTTGTATTTTGGAGCATAGCTGCAGCAACAACATCAAAGATAGAATGATGATCAATTAGGAGTCTTTTGTAGTAATCGAAGTGAAAAGTATTGTGGGCTTCATTTAAGGCCTTAGAACTAATAGTAGAGGAACGCCTGGGAGGCTCAGTCATTAGGTGTCTGTCTTTGCCTCAGGTCATGATCCCGGGGTCCTGAGATCAAGCCCCACATCATGCTCCCTGCTCTGTGGGAAGCCTGCTTCTCCCTATCCCACTCCCCCTACTTGTGTTCCTTCTCTCGCTCTGTGTCTGTCAAATAAATAAAATATTTAAAACAACAGCAACAACAAAAACTAATAGCAGAGGGACGCCTGGGTGGCTTAGTTGGTTAAGTGTCTGCCTTTTACCCAGGTCATGATCCCAGGATCCTGGGATCGAGCCTTACATTGGGCTCCTTACTCAGCAGGGAGCCTGTTGCTATCCTTGCTTGTGCACATGCATGCTCTCTCTCTCTCTGACAAAAAAATAAAACCTGAAAAAAAAAAAAAAGAACTAATAGAAAAGAGAAGACAAATGAAAGATATTAAGAGGAGTATCAGCACTTCCATTTCTGACAGTGGGGGTAAATGAGAGAGATCATGAATAACCCTCTTGCTGAGAAAAATCCCAAGTGAAATGTGTATTTAAAATTTTTTTTTTCAAAATACATCATTGGGCTGGTGAGAAAGTAAGGAATACTCTGAGGCTAAAAATGAAATGAAATTGGGAATGTAGATGTTAGCTAGATTTAAAGGAAGTCTTTACTCTGGTGGAATCTAAACAAATTAAATGGCTTTAAGCTTCTTCTTTGATAGCCTCATAGGGCCCAGGAAACAGGAAACAATGTCTGTGGTCTTCCTAAGGAAAAGAGTCTGATAGGAGACCCTTCCCTTTCATGAAACAGACTTTGTTACAACCTTGGCAGTTGGAGAGTGGCAGGAGATAGTCATTGAGAATTTATAACAAGGGTCTTTATAGGATCACATTTTCTATGAGGTCTTACATTACTTAAGTCAAGAATGTATTAAAAATGTATTTAAAATCTTTGTTAGGGCTCCTGGGTGGCTCAGTTGGTTAAGCATCTGCCTTTCAGCTCAGGTCATGATCTCTGGGTCCTGGGATTGCGCCCTGCATCAGGCTTCCTGCTTAGCAGGGAGTTCTTTCTCTCCCTCTGTCTCTCCCCACTGCTCGTTCTCTCTCTTTCAAATAAATAAATGAAATCTTAAAAAAAAATAAAATGGTCTTTGCTTGGTAGTGCCCACAGGTGCTTGCAGAATTTATCGATCAAATCCTCACTTCAAAAATCGACAGAATTAAAAATCCAAGGCACATAAGATCACAGGGAAAAAAAATCACGAAATGCACAAAAACCATGGCACATGAACAAGAGCCAACAGAAACAAGAGAGGATGACCACCCACAGACAGCAGACAGTTTGTTTTGTCTTAGTAATTCCAATAAATTTGATCAATATGTTTGAAGAAATGAAAAGTATATGAGTATAAAGGAAGGGTCTCTGAAACATGGCTAGGCATATTAGGAAAAAAACAAGAACAGAACTTCTGGTTATAAAAAATGAACTGAAATGAAAAACCCAGTGAAGAAATTAAAAAACAGCAACAACTACAAAAAGAACAGACTGGCGCAGGATAGAGTGAAGGGTTCTAACATTTATCTAATTGGAGTTCCAGAAAAAATGAGTGTGAATGGAGGAGTATGGTAATTGTTAAAGAGAAATAGCTGAGAATTTTTTGGAATTAATAAAAGATAGCAATTCTTACATGATGGAAGTGCCGTGAAACCCAAGGAGATAATTAGCATGAAACTGCAGAAGACCAAAGACAGAGAAAATCTTAAAAGCAACTAGAGAGAAACAACAGATTGCTATAAAAATATTTTCTCTGGTACAGCAGCTGATTTCCCAGCAGCAGCAACAGAAGCCAGGGGACACTGGAATGCTGTCCTTACTGTACTGAGAGAAAATAGCTGTCAGCCTGAAAATAGAATGTCCAGTAAAACTGTCTTTAGGAATGACAACAAAATAAGACATTTTCAGACCACACACACACACACACACACACACACACAAACACACACACACACCTTTTAGAAGGAAATTATAAGGTACATGATTCTGGTAGAAGGAAAGTAATTTCAGATGGAAAACCTGCGATGCCTTTCAATGATCACAAATGTTCCATCAAACAGATTCTATAGCTTAGATTCCAGTATTGTTGGACATTTATGTTTCCAGTTTTTCAGTGTTAACTGAAACTATACTGGACATGTATATGGACATATTTATGCTTGTATTTGATATGGAATAGATAAAAGAATAAGTCTTTTGGGGTGCTTGGGTTGGTTAGGTATCTGACTCTTGATTTCAGCTCAGGTCATGATCTCATGGGTCATGGTACCAAGCCCTCCTTGGGGTTCTGCATTCAGCATGGAGTTCTGTTTGGAGATTCTCTCCTTCTGCCCCTTGCCCTACTCGCACACTTGCGCATATGCACTTGCTCAAAAAAATCTTTAAAAAAAAAAAGTCTTTTTTTGACTAGGAACCCAAATTACTAGGTCAAAAGAAGGAGTGCTTTTGATAAATGTTATAAAATTGCTATTGTAAAGGGCTTTACCAATTCACATTGCATCTGATGACTATATTGGCTTTACAAATGAATAAATGTGTGTAGGGTCGGTTCTGAATGATGAAGATTGACTTTTTTTTTTTTTTTTTTTTTTTTAAAGAGAAAGCGAGAGTTGGGGTGGGGGAGCAGAGGGAGCTTAAGAGAGATAATCTTAAACAGGCATCACGCCCAGCGCTGAGCTGGATGAAGGCCTCATCTCATGACCCTGAGATGATGACCTGAGCCAAAATCGAGTCGGACACAACTGACTGAGCCACCCAGGTGGCCCTGAAGGTTGACATTTCTTACCAGATTTTGACTTGGTTATAGTTTTGACAGTATGTCCTGTCTCACTTCTCTCCCTTTGTTATTAAAAAAATGCTTTCTTTTTAATGGAAACAAATGCTAACTGAAATGCATTCTTTTAAAAAAAAAATTCTAACTTTCTAGAATGTAGTCTTTCATTTTTCCTTATCGTTTTTTCAATTTTTAACAAATATATAGTTGGTTCATTTAAAGACATGCTTTATTTAATTTGGTTTTATATGAAGGAGGACCACAGTTTTAATGCTGATAGTTTCTTTTCTAGCTTTGTGTATTTACTAATCAGCTAACATTGTAAAAGTAAACAAACAGGTTTTTAAAAAGAAGTCATTCATCCTAAAAGGGAAAAGGTACTATTAATTTGCTTGGGAATTCTGTATTTTAATGTGAACCTTTAGTAAGAAGTTGTCTTTTTGTTTTTTAACTTTTTCCCTGTCTTTCTGCTGTTTCAGGTGCAAGCGAAAGTGTAGGGAAACATATGCTCGAAGCCTGCAACAATAATCTGGAGATGGCAGTCACTATGTTTTTGGATGGTGGAGGAATTGCTGAAGAGCCCAGTACCAGTTCAGCAAGTGTCTCCACAGTGAGACCACACACAGAGTATGAATTTATTATTTGTTATTAGGAGCTACTCCTTGCCTACATTGAGCAGTTGCATTTTTGTCATTTAGGTTAATTCTCTGGTTTTGAAAAATTTGAAAGTTGGAAGCCTCTGAAAAAGGGTCATGTATACATTTTTGTGCTTACATACTTAAATTCTCTAGAGCACTGTCATGTCTGTTATTTAATCTTCAAAAGAACCTTGCAGGATGACATTATTATCTACATTTTACAGATGAGGAAGCAAAAGCATAGCCATTTTCCCAGGCTACACAGTAAGTACGTAGCAGATATGGCAATAAAGCCAATTAAAGCTCAGATTTCCCAATTCTCAATTTTCTTACATTGTCTCAGGAGAATTTTGAGTTGCCACAAAAATTATTTGAAAAATAATTCTGGTCCTTTATACCTTAATGATAGTTACATGTGGTTAATCATTGGAAGTACTTTAACATATGGAACCGTACTCTGTAGGGAATGATAGTAAATGGTGAACAAATTTGGGTTTTTTTGCCCTTTACATTTGATAACCAATGAGAATTTGAAATGAACACCTTATGGGTAAAATTCTGAGTCTTTGGAAAATACTAGAGATGAATGCTACCTAAAGGAAAACCATTGACTTTTGAAGCAAAATTAAACAGATCCTTAAATAAGACTTTAAAGCTTACAGCCCTTTATAACTCTGAGTGTTTACAACATGAGATACTAAACAAAAGAAACTCCCTGTTTAAGGGAATAGACTAAAGACATAGATATTATTTTTAAGGTAGAGATAGATTTAAAAAGCCAAATGACATTCAAGACATAGTTGCCTCTTTCATTGATCTAGTTCCAAATTCTAGAGTACTAATTGTTTCCACATGAAGAGTGAACTTTAGAGATCATTATTAATACTTCATAAAGTTTTTTCCTATCAGTGTTGGCTACTATTTCAGATGTTGGTGTTCCATTCCCCCCAGTATATCTCAAATTTTTCATGGAAATCAATATGAAATGATTTAGCTTACAGAAATAACAGGTATTCATGGCTGATTTGGGGGAATATAACTGTTCTCACTGTATAAAACATGTTTTTTTAATTGTGTTTAAAGATAGTTTTGAAAAAAAAAAAAAAAAAAGATAGTTTTGATATGGGGTGCCTGGCTGGCTCAGTCAGTAGAGCATGCAACTCTTGATCTCAGGGTCATGAATTTAAGCCCCACGTTGGATGTGGAGCCTACTTTAAAAAAATAATAATAATTTTGATAGGTGAATATCTTTTCCTTCTGAATTACATTATAACTTGACTTAGATTACTTGTATTGCTAATTGATTAACATTTGATAATGGCTCCTAATTCCTAAACTATAATTTTCACTCTTTACGGTTCTTTTTTCTGATTCATTCTTTCATTTTGTTGGGTAGCTAGCAATCTTGGAATGGATACCCTCAAACATACAGTAAACAATTTTTTCTGTATAGGGACTACTACTTAATCCATATGCTAATTGATGTATTTCATCAGATTAAGGTTTGTTTTTTGAGTAATTAAATTGTTACAGATATAGGTAATTACATATATTCTATGAAATCAGGTATAGCATGGAAAGATTTATTTAGGTAAAAGATGTCTTTTAAATTCTTAGTTTTATTAAGAAAATGGACTAATTCTCTTTGATGAAAGAGGATTAATAGAGCTTCCTCTTATAGATCCATTGTTTCTTCTATCAGATTATTGAAATTTTGTGTGTGAGCAGTGACAGATGTACTTAATTTTAAACTACCTTTTATCCTTCATCTTTGCCTAATTGTAGATTTCTTAGTCGATCTAGTTGTTCTTTGATTATAGGATTTTTTTTGACAAATGAGTATTCATACTTTATTTCGTAAAGTATGTTTTGGAGTTGCACCTATCATATCAAAAACAGGGCCTTAAGCTCAGTTATTATTATTAGAAACACCTGAATGGAAAACATTAGGTCTGACTTAAATCAACGTTGTGAGCAGGACAGTAATAAATTTGGAACATACTCTTCCTTGCTATGAACATTAATCAGCAGAGATTAATACTTGAGTTAAAACTATAAAATAAACTGATATTTAAAGAAACATACACCATTTTTACAGTATTTCTAAATGAGTATTTTCTGCTGGAGGAAATGGGATTAATAGATCCTCTGGAGGTAAATTTTGAAGAGTTTATAGACTTTTAAAGGATGAGTAATGACTTTTTCTGTTCTGTATATATTGGAGTTTATTTAATAAATAATGCAGGGTAATACCTATGTTAACTGTCTTCAAAACTAGCATAAAATTTACTGCTTGTTTAATATAAACTTATTTTAGTATATGTGATTTAATGCTCTATTGCTTGATGTAGTAGCAATATAGTACTACTTTTATTACACCTGTATTTTTTCATTTTTCGTCTGACTTTTTTTTTTTAAGCTCCCCCCCTTTCTTTTCCTGTAAAGAATCTAGGGTAGGGAACTTAAGAGGAAAGGGGAAATATTTTTTCTTTTTCTGTTTGTTCTCTTTATAAATTATTTAAGCCATCTATGCCAGATACTTTCACTCCAGTTGACCTCTGTATGGAAACCATCTAACTATTATTTAACACCGTGGTTCCTAAGAGTCACTAAATTTGGTGTTCATATAATTTGTTAATTTGGATGCATTCACAGTAGTTATGGAGAGAACATGTAGCAAAGAAGTTTTCCTTTTGATATTTTCCTACTTCTTTTAATAGAGAAGAAGTTCGTGCCCCAATTCCTCAAAAACAGGAAATATTGGTGGAACCAGAACCTTTGTTTGGTGGTAAGTTCATCTTTTTTCCTTAGTTTTCTTGGACTCTGTTGTTATCTTTAAGGTTTTAATGTAGTTATCATACGATGTGAAGGCTTGCTCAGAGATTATTAACTTTAAGTGTAGAGTCAGTTCTTATCTTTTAATTCTGTACTCCCTTCAGGAAAATTGCACAGTTGCTTCTTTCCGAGGAGAGAACCAGACTAAAATATTTGTTGTAGAAGGCCAAAAGAAGGAACATTAGCAAAGAGAAATAACTGCTTTATAATGGAAACAAACCTATCATTAGATAAAAGACTCCGATTACTTCTTATTTTGAGGGGCACTTACTTGACTGCCACATCCTTACTGTCTTGATACGCCTGGTCTTTTCTCTTTCTAAATTTACAGAAGCGCCATTTCCGTTTTGAACAAAGGAGAAAGTAATACCTAATCCATGCAAAAAGTTGTGGTATCAGTCTGGGTGCATAGAGAGACAGTAGAAAATATAACATTTAATTACATTAAAAGAAAATTTATAGTTTTAGTTTAATAAGCACTTATTTACCTTTTGTAATTGGTATGTTAAAAAAATAGAAAATAAAGTTACAACCTGGGTGGGCAAAGCCATAGAAATGTATATTGTACATACTGAGACCAGTAATGCAGAGAAATAAAAAGTTCTGTAGGTAAACTTGAATAAAGGAGAAGAAATAAATCATAAAAAAAGGATGAAGAAAATAATATAAATGCTATGTTTTAATTTGAAAAGACACCATAATTTAGAGGTTTTTTTTTAAAGATCAGTCTTTGACTTGGCAGTTTGGAGTTTAGTGAGAAATAACAGAATATGTTGTCTAGATTCAGAAATAAAGATGGGAGGAAGAAAACCGTAAGAACTGAAGGTTGAAATATAATATGGGCTTTCTGGACTTTGATTCAGCCAGTCATTGGCTGTTAATATACCAGAAGTAATGAAGCATTGTTCATCATTTTTTTTTCCATACAGATGTTATGAATGGATTTTGGAATTGAGGGGTGATGCCCTTGGAAGCTTTATCTTTTCTTTATTGCAAGGAATAAGGCAGAATTTCTGAGTGGGGTAGATTATGGGAAATAAATTCTCTGCTATTTAACTGTTGTAAAGAGGCAAAAGAGTTCTCATTTGAAACCCTTTCCTCCTTTTACCTCTGGTGTAATAAACATTGAAGAGGGGGATGGGAATGAATGTAGAGTTAGGAAGTCAGTCCTGACTTCTATTATTAGATCTTACTATAACCTGATAAAGGTCTTTGGAGAACTATTTTCTTCTTAGGACAGAATTGATTTAAAGTATGATTCTAAAAGTGTGGTCTGGGAGTCTAAGCTGAAAACTATTTTTATAATAATTTTTATAAAACATTATTTGCCTTTTTTACATCTTTGGCATTTGGGCTGATGGTTCAGAGGCAATGATGGATCAGACGCTGCATCTTAATTGAGTCAGGGCAGTGGCACCAAACTGTAAATTCTTCACTGCCATACACTCACAATTTTTAAAAAAAATAAATCTATTCTACTTAATGTTCTTGGTGAAACAGTAAAAAATGAATTTCGTTAAGTCTTGACTCCTGAGTACACAGTTTTAAACTATTCTGTTTTACAAAATAGGGTGTGTACATAAAGCACTTCTGCATACTGACGTAGTGTGGTTACTTTAAGGAAAAGCACTTGTACGGTTGTTTGAGTTGTGAGCTAAACTAGCTGCTTTTTTTGTGGAACATTATTTTTACTTGAAAGATTCCTGACAACTATGCTTTAGCCTTCAGGCATTTGGCAGACATTTTCTTGAATCTGAACAAAAATCTGTTGCTGCTTTAAGACGAACAACTGATGTTGTTTGTTACCAGTTATTAAAAAAAGAGCTTTCAGGGAAGAATTAGGATTTTAGAGTTTATATCCACAATTAGGAACTTTGATAGCTTCCCATTACTTAAAGACTTTCTGATGAGATTAGTGGTAGCAATAACAGATGTTGATTTTTTTTTGTTATTATTGTATAATGAAGTTGGTGTTTGGAATATTTGCATAACTCAGTGAACAAATATTTTCTCTTTCTTTCTTTCCTTTTTTGGTGGGGGGTGGGGGAAGGACAGACAGAGAGAGAGAGTGAGAGAGAATCTTAAGCAGGCTCCATGCCCAGAGCAGAGCCCAATGCGGGCTGAACTCACAATCCTGAGGTTGTGACCTGAGCCGAAAGAAATCAAGAGTTGGATGCTTAACTGACAGATCTACCCAGGGGCCCCTGAACTCATATTTTCAAATGACCAGTGTGCCAGATTACAAAATTGTGCATAGCTAAAAGAACAGACAATAAGATAAATTGAAGAGATAGATTAGTTATCTATTGCTGTGTAACAGATTTTTCTAAAATTTAGCTTCCTGAAATAACAAACATTTGTTATCTCAGTTTCTGTGGTTCAGGAATCCAGGTGCAGCTTAACTGGGTATCTTTTGGTTAGGGTCTCTCACAAGGGTATAATTAAGGTGTCAGTCGGAGCTATAATCATCTCAAAGCTTGAGTAGAGGAGGATATCCTAAGCTTACTGTGGCTGTTGGTTGGCTGGAGACATCAGTTCCTTACCATAGAGGAAATGAGAGAGCAAGAGAAGACAGTACATTTTAGAAGCCACCATCTTTCTTAGAAGTGACAACACATCACATCACTTCTGCCACATTCCATTTGATCCTGCCCATATTCAAGATATTCACACTCAGGTTATGAATATTGGGAAATTGGGATAATTGAAGGCCATCCTAGAAACTACCTACTGCATAGACCAATGGGTTTTAGTGGAGCAGTATCATGAAAAGTTCATTGGTAAGATTTTAGATTCCATGCTGCAGTTACCCTTTAAGAAACTACTACTGGTTGAGTTTTGGTGCAGTATCAAAGGAGAATATTCACAATGATCTCAAAATACTATTAAAATACTTCTCCCATTTACAACTATGTATCTGTGTCAGGTTGACTTTTAATTTCCTTCATTTACTTGAGCTGTAGGAATAACAACAAATTGAATGCAGGAGCGGATCTGAAAATCCAGATGTCTTCTCCTAAGCCAGTTATTAACAGAGTGTTATGAAAATGTGATGCAGTGCCACTCTTCTGACTAAATTTTTATTCTCCACCTGTCCCACTTGCCTATTCTATGGATCTCCTTTTGAATCTTTATTAGCATTTTGTAGCTTAGCCTCATTGACCTCAGCAAACAGCATTCCTGTTACATGGGCAATAGAGTGAGAATACAAAGGACTAATGTTTGCTATATAGAAGATGGCTTGGAAGAGTCAGGAAACACATACTGAACAGGCAGGTGGGAGTATAGGCATTCCTTGTTTTATTGTGCTTCGCAAATATTGTGCTTTTTACAGATAAATGGTTTGTGGCTACCCTGTGTTGAACAAGTCTGTCAGCGCCATTTTACCAACAGCATTTGCTCACTTCGTGTCTCTTTGTTACATATGGGTAATTCTTGAGATATTTCAAATGTTTTCATTATTACTATATTTGTTTTGATGATCTGTAATCCATGATCTTTGTACTATTATAATTGTTTTGGGGCACCATAAACCACACCCATATAAGGTGGTAGACTTATTTGATATGAGTGATTCACCAGCCAGCCATTCCCTATCTCTCTTTGGGACTCTCTCTGTTCCCTGAAACACAGCAATATTGAAATTAGGCTGGTCAATAACCCTATAACGTCCTTTAAGTATCCAAGTGAAAGGAAGAGTCGCATGTCTCTCACTTTAAATCAAAAGCTAGAAATGATTAAGCTTAGTTATGAAGGCATATTGAAAGTTGAGATAGGCCCAAAGCTAAGCTTTTTGTGCCAGTTAGCCAAGTTGTGAATGCAAAGGAAGAATTTCTGAAAGAAATGAGAAGGGCTACTCTTTTGAACACACACATGATGAGAAAGTGAAACAACCTGTTGCTTGCTGATAAGGTGAAAGTTTTAGTGTCAGGATGGAAGATCACACCAGCCACAACATTCCCTTAAGCCAAAGTCTAATCCAGAGCAAGACACTCTTCAATTCTTGGAAGGCTGACAGAGGTGAGGAAGCTGTAGAAGAAAAATTTGAAGTTAGCAGAGGTTGGTTCATTGAGGTTTAAGGGAAGATGCCGTCTCCATGACATAGAAGTGCAGAGTGAAGCAGCAAGTGCTGATATTGAAGCTGCAGCAAGTTCTCCAGAAGATCTAGCTCAGATAATCCATGAAGGTGGCTGCACTAAGCAACAGATTTTTCAGTGTAGACAAAATAGCCTTCTATTGGAAGAAGATGCTGGCTAGGACTTCCATAGCTAGAGCGGAGAAGTCGATGTTTCAAATCTTCCAAGGACAGGCTGGCTCTCTTGTTAGGGGCTAATGCAACTGATGACTTGAAGTTCAAGCTGGCCCTCATTTACCATTCTGAAAATCCTAGAGCCCTTAAGCTTTATGCTAAATCTTCCCTGCCTGAGCCCTGCAATGGAGCAACAAAACCTGGATGACAACACATCTGTGTACAGCATGTTTTACTGAGTATTTTAAACCCACTGTTGAAACCTACTGCTTAGAAAAAAAGATTCTTTTCAAAATATGACTGTTCAGTGACAACACCCCTGGTCATCTGAGAGCTCTGATGGTAATTGTCCAATAAGATTAATGTTGTTTTCATGTTTGTTAACACAACATCCAATTCTGCATAGATTAAGGAGAAATTTTTATTTTCAAGTCTTATTATTAAAGAAATACATCTTATAAAGCAGTAACTGCCATATATAGTGATTCTTTTGTTGGATCTGGGCAGTGTAAATTGAAAACCTCATAGAAAGGATTCACCATTCTAGATGCCATTAAGAACAATTCATGATTCATGGGAAGGGGTCAAAATAACATCACTAGCAGGAGTTTGGAAGAAGTTGATTCCAGCCCTCATGTATGACTTTGAGGGTTCAAGACTTCATTGGAGGAAGTGAGTACAGATATGGATAGAAATAACAAGAG